AGTGAATTCTAAATGGACCTATAGGACCAAAAATATCAACCATTTTTCTAGCCTTTTTAATTTTATCCTTTGCCACGGCTAGAGAAGTACCAGCTGGTAAATATCTCTGAACCTCCGTATTTAACTTATTTCGTGCCCTCTTCTGCCCTTGTTCTATTAATTCATTGAGACGATTGATTACTGCTAAGCCAAATTCGTAATAGCAATAGATGGCATAGAAATCAGCCTTGCCAACTTTTCGAGATAATTTTCGTAGAATCGTTGAGGGCTGATCCTGAGGGATTACTTCTGATGAATTGCTATCAATTTCCATCACTTCAGTTGACACCTCAAGTATAAAAGCTAACAATCTTTCTTCTCTACTCATATTTTTCCAACCAAGTCGTTCAAGCTGTTCGATAACATTGCTTCAGCACTCTGGACATCGTTCTTTGCGGACTGAAGATGCATTGCAACAACTAATATGAAAAGTATGACCACATTGGAACATCGCATGTGAGTTTATAATTTCCCTTTTGCAAGCCAAACAAGGTTCAGCTCTCTGGGGGGTTCAGAGAAAAGATCGGGGGCCACTCTATGACCCAAACTCAATAGAAGCAATGCGATTGATTTCCGGGACGCCATAAAGGCGAAAAAAGAGTTTATGTTAGTCTATTTATACTTCATGGTAAGGGTTGAATTGATAAGCCGGGTAAGAAAATATGGTAGCATACCATATCATATGATAATCGTGAAGATTTTTCTCACTTGCAACCAATAGAAGCAGGATCTACTTGCTAATCATGTGATAGGCGTGAAGTTTCTCTCTTTTATTTGTGATCGGTCCTTATTGCATCATCGAAAAAAAAATAAAGTTTCTCCTGTGTCATATGATAATCGTGAAGACCCTTCACACTTGCAACCAATAGAAGCAGTTTAATAATTCAATGACGTCTAGTATATTCTGCGGAATTGCATGGCTTAATGATTTTTTTTATGATATAAATTGATGTGGTAAATGCCATATATCAAGAAATTTGCACGAACAGGTGTTTAATACACATTTGATGGTCAATAAAGTGAATGCTATAAACATTTTTATTTATTTTCCGATATAATTGCACGCATGCACCACCCGTATATGTAAAAAAAATAAAGCTCGACTAATTTTTGTCTATTATATAACATTATTACATGTAACTACGCCTGCGAACCATTTTTCCGCTCTTATTAATGATACTTATTTCGGTATTAATTAAAATAAACGACTATCTAGAAAGAAATGTACAACCCACAATTGAAAATAAGATATTTAATCTGGTGTCCTATTCATATTCAAAGCGGGACTATTTTCCATCGTAGTTCGACGACGCTTTCCCAACGTATTACTTCGATACAATTCTTTCACTGACTTTTCGGTTTGTAGTAATTTTATCTGCATGGAAATATTGTATATTAAACAAACAATTCACGGGTTAATTGTAACAGTAAGATAAAAATAACATACATTAAGTTCCTTTAGTATACAATATATGTCTTCGAAAAGCCCACAATCGTCTTCTTGGGACGGTAATATACAGTGGTCGAGTAGGCCAAATCTGTACAAACCTCCGAACCAGTTCATTGCGTAAAAGTTCAGTTCAAACCCTGTGTTGAATGAACTGTATCAATTAGTAAGCCAGATAAACGAGAACTACATATTAGGTTTATGTGAATATTAACGTACCCACTTGGAGCCATCCATAGACTACCAAATTTTTTCTTTGGTTGTTATCTACATGTCGGCACCCTTTCAATGCATTATTAAGAGAGTCTCGCATCATAATACTAAGTTTCACTTTATCTAAATATCGTTTTTTACGGGATGAAGAAGAAATGCCTAGTGATGCCATACCACCAGACACTTCGCCGAAAAGAGCTTCGAATTTATTTGGGGTATTTTTTAGCGTTCCCTTCATGTCGACTTTTCGTCCTAAACGTGCTCTCTGGAAAGGATTCGAGTTTTCATTCCTTGCATTTTTCGTGCTATATACCTGAATTTCGCCCCTATACATAAAAAATATTTTAAATTTTTTCTATTATCCTGTTATGAGATAAATACACCATAACTTACCATGCATCTTTAACTACATTTAGTTGAAGAATAGAGCGAAAAATTGGGAAGGTGGAAATCATTTTCAATTCTTCCTCGGTCATGGAGTCATTAAACGAGTACATATTCTCTTTTCTTTATTATAGAAAGAAGTAAAACATCCAGTCAAACAATTTAGAGAATATTGCACAGACACTTATAACAAACCAATACTTACATGAATTGAATGTTCGTATGAAGCTTCTTTATATCCTTTATTTGATGACTTTCTTCACAGTTCTTATTGAAATATTCTTGAAGATAATCCGGTGCCGACTTTGGATTCCAAGAAATAGTATTCGAAAAGTCTTGCGATAATTCTTGAATATCTCTCTCTGAAAATTCCTTGCATCCACTCAGACTCTCTCGAGTTAGATCCAATATACCCCAATATGCTGGTCTAATAGACGATAAATAAGGTATAAGTACAAAGACCAGATCGTTATCATATGTTAAATCAGTGAAAACTTACGTAGTAACTCGACGGCACTTTGGGATACTTTTTTGGTATTTTTTAAACATGGTTAATAAGTCGCCACCACTTGACAGTTTGTATTCGGATATATTTTCAGATGGTTTTGAGATCGGTAACCTCGTTTCATTTATTAACTTGCTTTCATCGATGCTTTCTATGAGGGAGTCTTCGTTTTTTTCATCAAACAATATACTGCTACATTCTTCCTCTACCTCACAATCTTTCCTTTTCTTCGATATTTTGTCCTGAATGTATACAAAAAATGAATTCATAAAAAAAAACGTAGTTAGATATATTGAATTATTGGTTAAAAGTGAATGTCCACTTTTTTTGAAGAGAAACTCATATCCGCACCTTTTCATCACCGCTTTGGTTGCCTAATTCATCCCGTTCTTCCTGGAGAAATCTTCCTTCCTCTTGATCATTTGCATTTCGTGTGAGTCCATCATTCGAATTACGCCTTTTTCTTGTCGGTGTTTGAACATGAGGCTCATTTCCAAAAATTTCCAGCTGTCTGGTAAGTGTAGTCCGTACAGCTTGATCTCGAACGAGTGCTGTTCTTATAACCTCATTATGTTGCTCGGTCTATCAAGGAATGAAGAAAAGAAGTAAAATACTGTACATGTATTTTTGTATATTTCATTACAACAAATAGATCTAGATTACCATTAGAATATCACGTTCGAGAATCAGTTCTTGCTTCCTGTTATTTTTCTTTAAATCTTTGGTCCATTCCTAGGCAATAGATTAAAAATTAGATGCACTATGTCAGAATTATTTGAGGGAGAATGTCGAACCAAGAGTTCATCACCGATCGACCAAGAGTGTACGGCTTTGCAGGAACCAAGAGTTCATAACCAAACAACCAAGAGTTGTTCAGCTTCTGCCAAAGTTAGAGTAGGTACGAACCAAGAGTTCATCACCGATCGACCAAGAGTGTACGGCTTGACCATACTCTAACCTCCTCCCTTTTTACTGTTTTTTTTTCTCGTAAACATACCTTCCAGTTGACGATTATAGCCTCTGCCTTTTCTCTACACATTGCATCGGAGCCATCTTTTGAAATTCGTTTGAGATCTTTATTGATCGAATCGAGTGCTTGCTTGAGCGTAAGCTGTGGATTATTTCCTTTGTAATGATTTAAGACATTCTCGCATGTCCATTCACTGACTTTTTTTTCAAAAAAATCCATATTGCATTAAAGAAAAGGAGAATTCTACAATCACGGAATTTATAATTGACGGTCACATGATAGCCAGAAACGCGACGCGTCAACTGTCAACTGGCATGTGATGTGAGAGATACAACTGCGGATATGCAAAGCGGAGATCGCGCCTACACATTGACGTCTTCCTTCCTGCGCATAATATATAAGCCACACACGTGATTCGAAAAAGAAATGATACTCCAGTACTATGCGAATATTCTTCTAGGCGGTTACCGGAGAGATAATAGGGCTCATCATTGGTAAGGTTTTTCTTTCATATCTTCCGTCATGATAGTAATAACCTCTATCACGTTCACCATATTCATTATATCCACCGTATCCATTATATCCATCATCATCCGAATCATCTGGCATCCATTCATTCGTTTCTTTCACCGGCTGGGGCGTGGAATCAACTTCCTTATCAAAATACTCACAATCCTTCGCACATTCTTCCAAGATCATTTTGTAGTAATCGTCCACATCTTCGAGCGAATTGTTTGGGCTGACTTCTTTGGAACCATCAGATGAATTAGAGTCATAGGCTAATAGAATAGGTGATGTTGAAATGCTTACTTCAGCTGAAACCAAGGGATTCGCTCGCACCTCTGACGTATCAGTTTGACTGGAAGAATCATCATTAATAAAATTGTCCTGATTCTCACTGAAATCTGTACTGGGTTTATTTGAGAAATGATCCATAATCTTTTGGATTTCATCATTAGTAAACTTTGATATTTCATTCGCACTATACGACTTGATATACTGGATTTTATCTAATCCTATTTTTTCGAGAAGTTTGTAGATCTTCTCAGCTCTCTGAGTTTTTTTGCGCAAACCATCTCTTGTTATATCTGGGAGTGGCATCCCTGTATCTTGAGATCTTTTCTTACGAAGGATATTAACTTGCTTCACGACTTCATCGTATATTAGACCTCTTGCCTTCTTTTCGCCAATTTTATTTTTATCACACAAGGCCTCCAACTGAAATACGAAATTTCTTCCATAGTGGTACTAGCATAATATTTCTTCTTGATTTGCTTCCAATCTATGCTCTTCTGCAATAAGCGCTTTATCACATAACTGGGCCAAATGTTGAGATATCTCTATCATAGTAGTCCCATGAAATGAAGACACTAATGCATCTGAATTATCAGATTTCTAGGACCGCGCGGTCTCAGAAATTTTAGTCACATGATTTTCTTTGGGTACGAATGAAGAGATTTTTTGAATCAATCCCTGCCCATTTTTTTCATTCTTCTTTTTCTTATTGCGTCACTTTATTTCACTACTAACGATTTTCTTATGAGCCTCAAGCAAGAAACTATCCATATCTTTCTCTTCCAATGGTTTGCTATTAAGGCGCTTCGCAGAGTTGGCAGGTACCATCGCCACCAGTTCTTGTTTATTATAGCAAACCTCTTCAGGAAAGGAATTATCTGTTTCCACATCCACCAATGGTTTCTCATGATACTCTGTAACTGAATTAAAGTTAGATGTACTATTGTCAGAAGGATTATCATTATATGTCTGCTCTTCCACTGGTAAGGAAGCCTGTTCCACTATCGCAAGTCTGGTCTCAAGCTCCTTATTTTTCTGCTCCAGTTCCTTAACTCTAACATCACGTCTAGTATTCTCCTCCATAATCCGCTTTAAAAGTTCAGCTTTTTCAGCCTCAAGCTCAGCATTCTTAGCCTCAAGTTCAAAGATACGCTGTTTCAATACTTCAAGCTCGGATGTCATTATTGATAAATTTTATATAAGAAGTGAAATATTCAAAAAATAGTTAGTATATATAATTATATAGAAACTGTGTCATTGAGAAATAGGTTATAAAGTCACCAGATTTCCAGGACCGCGTGGTCTCAGAAAAATGCCAAGAATTATTTTTATTATTATATGTGAAAAATAAATACAAATGTTCGGGACTTTGCCCGTGATACATGACTAAATTACTATGCTAGTGCCCTATATAATTATTTTTTCAAACGATATTCCTTTATCTTTGCTCTCTTCCTATCCGATTTATCCTCCACACATGCCCTATCTTCCAACAAGCCAATGATTATACCTAAAACCTTCTTGACGCCCTTACGCAATGTTTTATATTCTTCGGAGTTCTCAACCAGAGCTTCTTCGACAAATTCGATGCTAAAGGGGGCCTTACTCGCCTGTAAAATTTCACCTGGAGAATAGAGGAGAAAATGCCAATCCCTGGCAGACGTCACAACCCCGTACAGATAGTCAAAATAGTCCTCATCACGCTTTCGTTTTCTCTTGTTTGTTTGAAATGAACTTTCAAGTTGTTTGATATTCTGAGCGAAGCCTTCTGTTAATTTTTGCTGGACCTTATCCTCTGTGATGCAAATAAGCTCATCGGATTCCTATAAGTCTATATTTTGTAGTAAGTTAACAGGTCCCTCTAAGACCATATAGGATCTAGTGTCATGCTGGAGGAATGGTAAAAAAAAAATACAAGTCTCACCTTGATTACATAGTCGACCTGCCCACTACTTTCATCTCCAATTATTTCGTACTCAGACCTCATACTAAATTTCTTTTTCGTGATATCTTCTGCGATATGAAGGGCAGTATGTAGTATAGTTGAAACGTATTCATTACGCATGGACTCCAAACTTGTCATTACCAATATCTCATAACTTTTAAGTCGTAACTTGATATCAGCCATACACAGTTCGAGATGCTTATTTTCGTCTGGGATTTTGCGGATTCGTGGTGTGAAAAGAGGTATAATCTCTGTACCCTCAGAAGCAAGGTCATATTCCGCTAAAACTTCTTTCAAACTGCGGTATGATGAAAAAGCCCTCAACTTCTTATTCTTACACTCCTTGGCAAACTTCACGAGTCTCATAGCAGGTCCCAAGCCTAAGCCAACACTGCGAAGCCTTTCTTCAGTCAAGTCAAATAAGTCCTGGCCCGTAATCTTCTCCTTGCAAATAATATTTTCATCGTCCAAGTCTAGCTCTAAGCCCCGTTCCTGCAAAAACGAAATAAGGGCTCCAGTGTCATATTTTTTTATTTCGTCCGCTAACGTGAGTGTCTCATTTCCAGTAGCGGTTGTGAAGGAAGTGGGCGTGTCTACAATATCGGTCATTTTATAGTGATATTTGGCTCGGGTAAAAAAAAATATGTGTTACGTCCGGAGGAAAATAGAGTTTTATTTCTAGTGGGAACGTAGGTGTTAATATAAGTTTTTATGTCGCACAGGCGCATCATCACACGTGACCCATTTCTCATGTACTGATAAAATAATAATACTTTATTTATGTAATAAAAAAACGTTACCGGAAGCTGGCCTACAATACATAAAATTGCGACTATATCGCTGATACATGTTGTGAATAAAAAACAGATAAAGTTTCCTAACTATTTGTTAGAGGAAATTTTGGGGTGGTGGGATGTACAACGACTGTTAGATTACTGTCATCAACAGTATCAAAATAATTAAGAAGTGCGTCCTTCCTATCCATTAGATTTTTTAGATATACGCTATTTTTATAGAGATCAAAGTGAGTAGTATTAATTTCTCCTGCGACGTAGTTTTTGAGTCCATCGACACCTCAAGTCTGAAAAGTACTGACTACGAACTTATTGTTACCATTTTTAACGGTAACTTCTAAGTAATCGGTATCCATCATCTCACTTTCCTAAATACAAGACCCATAGTGAGAAAAACTCGCTCCATACATACATAATTTAGGGCGTATACATACCTTATTTTGCGTTATTTCTCTGGGAAAGTTTTTTGCGGAAAGTTGGCTGAACTTCCAAATACTCATACATGCTTTATATCTTGCTGGGAAAAAGTTAAGGAGGTATGAGGCGTAATTAGTATTGTCGTCTGATGCCAAGAGTTCCATGAAAGAGCATGCAAACGGAATTTTCAAACCTTTTCACATGGAGATCTACCTTGCAAGACGTAAAGATAGCTAGCTCTTGTAGATCTCAAAAATGCAAAGGCCTCAGCCCTTCATAACATATGCTTTTATCGTTATTATTTATTTATGAGGTATCCCCTGTACTGAAACAAGACATTTCTTTGGGAAAAAATAAAGAACAGAAATTGATCATTTCACAGACTGCCGTGTGATCAGCTAAATTACTTATCCGATTAAATGATCATTTCTTTGAGCTGATAATCCTGCTCTGAGCTATCAATTCATCACAACTTTTGCATATTCAGAAAATCAACCGGACTCATGAAAGATAAAAATCTTACAATGATCATCCGTCAGCGAGAAGAAATAGATGCAAGTTTCCTGTCTCCATAAAACAAATAGTACAATATATTATTTCTCACACAGCCTCGCCATATCGGAATAAGCCACATTTCAGGCATTGTATTTTATATATGATAGAAGAATCCAAGTACGTAAAATAAAAATATATCTGCGCTTTTCACCTAAATATTGGGAAAATAGTTCGCACTGAAAACCATGAATCCCCAACTTAATTTTGGAACTGAGTCAGTGCAAAATCTTACAACATCTGATGGCAAAAAAAAAGATTTTAATGGTATATAATTTATAGTTCCATTTATACATTGCTCCTAATCCTACTGAAGTTTTTCCATTTTTTCATTCTTATCAGAGAAAGAAGAAATCAAGAAAAAAATTAATTACGAACTACCTCCTACAAGAAATTGGCTTCAAATTATTGTCTTTGTTTTAACAACTTTTGCTATACCGACAATGTTATATTTTATAACAAATGTATATGTTACTATTATAAGTTATTTCGTCATGACTTGTTTGGGATTATTTTTATTAAATAAGGAACATCTTAAGAATTATTTGCAAAATGTGTAAACTCTACAATTGGATAAAAAACCTTCTCATTGTAAAAAAGCTTTGCATGATCTTGACGCATTTTGGAATAAATTAAAAAATATTTTATGTAATGATAACATTATTATAGATGGTGCCATGATGTTTATATGACAATCTATTGATTGATCTCCTCGAGGACTGCGGAGAAAAATATAAAGTCATTACGATCGATCGGCCTTTACTATTTTCTTACTTCATTTTCAAGTTCAAAGACTTGTTTGTCCTTAGAAATCTTTGATCGTGAAAATTATGTTCTTATTTTCTACATTACAGAAATGAAAGTTAAAACTTATAATATCATTATCTATGCTGGTAGACATCTTGCTTTCCTAAATTCAAGAGCCCATAGTGAGAAAAACTCGCTTCCATACATACATAATTTAAGGTATATACAGTACATACCTTATTTTGCGTTATTTTCTCTGGAGAAGTTTTTTGCGAAAAGTTGGCTGAACTTCCACATACCCCTTCATGCTTTATATCTTGCTGGGAAAAAGTTAAGGAGGTATGAGGCATAATTAGTATTGTCGTCTGATGCCAAGAGTTCTATGAAAGCACATGTAAATGGAATTCTCATACCTTTTCATATGAAGATCTACCTTGCAAGACATATAGTTGGACTAACGCCCAGCGATCTTAAAATTGTGAGTCCCTCAGCCCTTCATAACATATGCTTTTAACGTAACTATTTACTTTTAGAGTTGGTCTTGTGTTGCAACTAGGCCTCCTTTCACATTTTTCTTATGTTCGTTCAGGAAAAAATAAAGAATAAAGGTTAATATGTTTTTTCGAATATATATGCAAAAATTAATATGTCGCACAAGATCTGACTGATAATCCACTTATTTTTTGTCGCACAGGAGTGGTCCAGCAAATTCATCCGAGCTGAAGATCACTGCTCTGGACTATTAGTTAGATCGGATTTGACTTCGATATGGGAGGATTACAAAATTATCGTCTATTGTTAGTGTTGAATTACACATATTTAAGCGTACCCTATTTTCTCGTATCTATGGTGAGCTCAAAAGTATTTCAGGAAATTGATCAGGCCAATCTGGTCCAGTAACTATAAATTCAGTGGGTATTATTTTATGCTTCTCACCATCATTTAAGATAATACGTAGATTAACCTTTCCTAATGTGGAATAAGACTCATCTGGAAACCCGTATACTCTAGGAATACTATTGTCTTTTGTGTATGCTATTTTCACAATTTTTTCACTAATAAAATTTGCATTAGCGCATATGTCAATCCTAAATCAAAAATTACCCTTTTGGGCCGTTCAAGATTCACTTCTCTTTCCCTATATCATTTATACCGCTAGCATGTTTTAGATCTGGAAGATACTTTAAAATAAATGATATCAACTCTGGCGGAAGAAGCTCAAGTAAATTTGATTTATGCATTTTTATATGATAGAAGAATTTGAAGAATTTTCAATCAGAAAATATGATTAGTTATAGTGCGAAATGATAACTAGTTAAATCAGACTTTTTGGATCAGATACCTTCTTGGCTTCGCCTTATTATCAGATTTTCTCTTCGTGCATATTATTTTGCCTGGATCCACTTTCTTTTCTGGTGACGCATGATCAGAATTGAATTCCTCAGATGAACTGGACTCGGACGAAGTATTTATGGATTCTTTACTACAATTGCAATGTTCCATAGTAAATAGTTCGTCTACATTATCATCC